AAGGCGCAATACTCCTTATCCACGTAAATGTAAGGATGACCGAGCGGAAAAGTACCCGTCTTCAGCACATACGGGTACAAAGAACACACGTCCACATAGCGTATCTTCTCCGTACCCGTAACTTCGTACTGCGTGACGATATTTTCCATACGCCCGCCGTAGAACGCCTCACGAGGTTCGAGGGGATTGTCTCTCAACATGGGATGATTCTCAACAAATTCGCATATCTCATGATTTTCGCGCAGCTCCCGATACATTCATCGAAGATACATTCCCACTTTTCCATAACAACGTACCCCCGTTTTCTAAGACGACACGTCATCGTGAGTGTGCGCTCGTAACGCGCTTCGATCGTATCCTCGCGCGACACGGTTGAGAGCGGTCTGTCGCGGTTCACGCGAAAACACTCGGGACATCCGTGCCAAAAACAACCGTGAAACTGCAGTACGTGACGCTGCCGGGGATTCTCCGTTTCATAATACCCGTCGACGAGCGTGCCTTCCGATAAATGCCGTTCCCGACCTCTCCCCGCGTGAATTATCGTGCGTCCGAGCTCATGCTCCATCTGCAATAACCATTGCAGCGCTTTACGCGATTGCGCGTTGGCACCCCTATAACCCCCGAGCGGGATTATCCCAATTTCCTTCTCGCGCAAAAAGTTTTTGCGAAAAACTTTCATACACGTGGAAGCGATAGTCGTGCATTCTTCGAACGGACACACGTTTCCGCGATCTAAGAAAATTTTTCGATAGGCCAGACACGCTCGTCGAAGAATATCTCCGTCGTTCCGGCAATAGCGCACTATCTCCTGTTGAAAATTAAATACCGCGTTTTTACCCGTCATTTCAGCGTGCCACGTTAAAAATTGTTCGCGTTCGTCCGATTTCATCGTATCCGGTGAATAATAATCAATATCCGGTAGCGGGCCGATATAATTTTGATTTTCAATTGTGTTGAATAATTGCGGAAATACGCCTTTGGCGACGGAATCCTTCAGTCCGAAAGCTTTCGGTAACGTCGACAGCTGCATAGGCATGTAATTAGCGCTATCGAGAAATTTTGTCCGTCCCACGGTTAATAATACAATTTTTGTCCCATTTAATATTACTTTCGGCTCGTCCGTCCTACCGCTCTCGACCAGGTAGCGCAGGATAAACTGCGAGTCGAACGCCGCCGCATTGTGCAAAATCGTTCTTGTTGCAAAATCGACGAATTGTTTTACCGGATCATCGCGAAATACAAATTCGCGCACCCCGCACCAGCGACATCATATCGCGACGCCATATCGTCCTCTCCCAGGCAAGCTTCGCACGTTTGCTGCGCGACGCAGAGTGTAACTACGTGCGTTTTAACGTTCGCGCATCCTTTGAGCATTTCGTCTTGCCGCGTCTCGAAGTTGTAAAATATAAACGCGGCGCGACCCTTCCGATCTGTTCTCA